CAAACAAACAAATCGATGGATGGACGGAGGGATAGACGGACGGACAAATAGATGGACAGACGGACAGTCGCGTCTATCGGCACATATAAAAATACGGAATGATCTTATGGCTGACCTTACACATTTGCAGAGCACCTGTCCGAGTAACCTATGCAATCAGGCAGCAGCTTGGCCATCAGAGATGTGTATTTGGAGAGATTCCTCAAAGGTTATTATATTTTCCAGCTATAATTTCTTAATTACTTTAGACTTTTGTAATAGTAAGGATGGGGAAATAATCATTTATTCTTAGGATAATCATCTTAGTAATACATTTATTTATATTTGAATAGAGCAATATATTCTTTGATTCATTATATATTTTTCAAATTCAAATAAGTTTATTTAAGAATTATTCTTTCAATGCTTAAAGGTACTATCGATATTAATTGTTCTCTTTAGTTATGCAGAATTTTTCCTCAACTCAATTTCCAGGTAAAATTCAGTTTTCTCCCATTCAGAGTAGGGAAAGCGTTTTGATTGAATTGCCACAATTAGAAAGATTTCCCAGATTTGCGCTCGCCTTGCTTGAGTTTGTTTTGGTTGCGGTTTTAGCCGCTTCCCGAACTCGTGGATGTTTACACGGATGCTGCTCCTCCACATCTCGTCCGCTGACCATTCATTCCCAGTGGCTAAATGTTTGATGAACTGAAGTGGAAATTTTGCACTAGCCTAGAGCGGAAAGTGCAGGGAGAAGATCAAGTGGGGAATGGGGAATGGGTCAAGTCCTTCAAGCGGAAGTTTTCCATGTTTTTTCTTTTTAGTCGTCTGCTTCCTGGAGATATTTAAGCCGGACCACGCCCCCCTGGTCAGTGTCGGTGACGGATGAGAAATAGCAGCACTTCCTAGGCCAAATCGATTCGGATTTGGATTCGCTTTTGGCCTGCAGCAAATACCCGCACTTACAGCACACAAACTAAAATAGCAAACGCTTTTTGGCTGCCCCAAATTACACACGCACACACACAGAGTGTATAAATCTGTGCGGTATCTCGTAACCAAGAGGATGCACTTGAAGAAACTTTGGTAACAGAAAGATTGCCCTTGTATTTAGATGGAATTAATTAAAGGTTTTGGTTTAAATTCATCAATAAATTTAATTTTAAGATAATGCTGTTTTTATGATGTAAAGTCTAGTATTCTGACACCGTTAGGGTCTTTTTACAAAATCCTTGTGATTTAAATATCACAATATTATATTGTTTGTTGTACAATAAAGTATGATTAATGGGACATTTCAGAAGGACTTTTTTATATTAAAAAGCTAAAGCTGTTAAATTTAAACACGAATTTGCTTTTATAACACAGGAATGCATTGAGAAATCATACTTTAGCTTCATCAATAATGCCTTTAAATAAATCATTACTTTATATTATCTATTTCATCTATAAAAAATCAATATCTAAATCAATAATAAGTTTATATTTAAGTATTGTTATATTACGTATATATTATATCAATATTTTCCTTTAGGAAAATTAGAATTAAAAAAGATTTAGTAAAACAAAATGGTATTTGAAGGAAATTACTGAAAGAAACTTAAATTGCCAATGCATTACTCTACCTACCACAAAACCCACATATCTTTGGCTAATTCTGCATCATTTTTTTGAGTGTAACATACAGCATATAGCACTCAGCACCCCGGTCGGCCTCTGACGTCAGAGCCCCTTTCGACCGCAGCGAAAATGGCCATTGAAATGTTGACGTCGATGGCGTTGCGAGTAACGGATTTGTCTCTGCGATTGCCTCGCCTTGTTATTGTTTAACACACACAGATACTCGGTGAATGTGTGTGAGTGCGAGTGCTTATGCGGTTTATTGACTGTATGTGTGTGTGTATTTGCTTTGGCCAAAGCCAGAGATAGATGAAAAATTGATTGTGCTTCACCTCAACATTTTGGCAAGCTGAAAAAACACATCCCAGCAATAGCTCACTTCAAGTGTGTCAATTAAGGATGTGGCATTGCTCTCACGGTGATTGCACAATTGCACTGCTTTCACATGATCTAATCTGAAGATGATGATGATAATGGTGATTCGTGCTTTATCCTCGTTATCCTGGCTACGCTTCATCCTTCGCAACGCCCAAAAGTATGCCTGGCTAAGCCACTCACGAGCTCAACGAGAATGCGTTGCTCCGGGTGACAGTTGGCCAATATGGAGATGGAATGCCTGACACATGTAACAAATTTGCAGCACTCGAAACTCGAATAAATCAAAGACATGACAAAATATTGAAGGCATTTTGTCGCTTAATTGGAGTGCCACGCGTTGGCATAGTCAAAAGGCAAAACAAAACAGAAAATAACGCAAATAAAACACAAATACAAGAGGAAAAGGAAAAAGGCAACTTTGACTGGCACATTTGACAGGACGAATGCGAATACCAAGACGTGGAGGAACCACAGTCTCAGGGTATGTCCTGGGGGCAAACAGAAGCCACGTCCACAACCAAGAAAAAGTTTAATTCTCGAAATGGTTCAAGTTGCAGGAAATATGTACATTTGGAGTATTAAATATTGTCTGTGGAGGTTTCTTCATTTCGGTCTTAAAAAGTATAAAAAGACCAAGAGTTTATATTCATTAAAAGTTCATCTTTTGTTTTAAGCATAATGTTGGTAATAAAATACTTCACACATTTATTAAGCTCTTTAAATGAATGAAAACTAAATATGATTTAGAACTCGTTGCATTTAAGCCCAGCTTTAAACTAAGCTTATAAATGTTAAATAAGTTTTAGAAATCAATAATAGGTAATCCCTGAATGAAATGACGGTATCCTTTTTATATTGAAATTTTTTTCCACCTCTCTTCGTTTTTCCGAGAAGTGTTTTGTCCCCAATTTGGTAAACACATTTCCGATGGCAGGACGATATTCTTTTCAGCACGTTAACCCTGAATGGGTGCTGCCGAAACGGACTTTGGATTAGCAGCGTGCTCGCAGGACTCTTCTATTCAGCGGCGGTAGCGATTCACAAAAGGACCAAGACCGTAGCACACTCACACACACACGCACTCACTCACTCACTCACATTTGTCGGGGGCTGTCAGACGCCATTATCACATATTGCCGTCACTTTGTGCTCGCTGCCGCTGTATTTGTGACCGTAATGCGCAAATACTGGCATGCCAAAGGTCCTGGTCCGAGGACCAGTCCATAGTCGCACATCCGCATAGTCGCATTCGCACATATTCACATCTGGGACATATGCAAATGGTAAATGGTAAATGGTAAATGGTAAATGGCAAATGCCGGCAGTTCCGGCTTCATCCGGACAGATCCTTCTTAGGGAATGGTAAAATATTCTATGCAAGAATATGGTATATAACTCTTAGCAGGAGTTTTTGTTATTTTGATACTTCAGAATATAATATATGCTTCAAAAAACATTATTATTTAACCCTTTAGGTTTCAAAAATGATATTTCTGAGAACTATCTATTCCAAAATATACAATTCAAAATAAATAAGAACAGCCACACCTTAAAATAACATCTAGTCCTTTTATACCTATTTATTTTGTGGCATATATATACCCTATTTTTGACATAGGTTCCTGGCAGCCCTGAGTGGCAAACGGCAAATGGCAAATGGCGAATGGCAAATGCCAAGTCGGTCAAATCGTTTTCGCACATGAGCCTTATTTGCATCTCATTAACATCCTGGGAGAGGGGAGGCACTCGGGGCACCGAACAATGGCCGCCGTGGCGTCATCGGTGTCATTTCCGCTGCCATTTGCAGTCCCTTTTTTCATCCCCATTTTGCTATTTTTATTCCTATATATATTCCTATTTATATTGCCATTTCTATTTCCGTTTTCCAATGTGCCAGGATAATTATTGAACTGGGAATGGTGTGTGGGCCACGCCTAATGAGCATGTCCTTCAGCCTCGATACAATGATTGACATGTGATGGCTGTGTGCGGGGTAGTTAATGTCACATATTTTGATAAATTGTTTTACGACCATAATTTGTGCAACTTTTATCGCCTTTTTTGTAATGGCTTTCCTATTAGTGTTTTATGTGCCGTAAAAGTAGTCCCCGCGCCACGCACAACACTACAATACACACACACAACATTCGCACAGACAGCCATCATTATGCTGATAGTTGATAGAAGTGGCAACAAAATGAAATTAAATTATTTACACGGCTCTTGGCGGGCGCCTTTTGCATTTTATGACAGCGCAAACATGCCACACTTTTATTTATTCAACATTCTGTTGAACACGCGCCCTAAAAATAATTTATGTTTAGCATAACCTTTTGGGTCGCCGGCAAACAGGCACACACAAGGGTTAAAAGCCATGTCCCAGACAGATACAGATACAGATACAGATACATATTCCGTTTAGAATCAGATACACCGAGAGAAGAGATAATCGAGACCAAAGTTGGAAGATAATTACTATTAAATTTTCACATTGTTTTTTTCTTCAAAATTCTCCTTTACTTGATGTATTTACTATCCCAATATTAGATTTAATTCCCCTTAGCTTTCCATTTATAAAACTTTTAAAAATTACCTAATAAGAAGGAGCTTGTCTCTTAGTTTCACACAAAACCATATAAAACCATTAAGAGTATTACAAATCCTTAAGTTTTTTTCACAAACACAAACTTCTAAAATGAAATAAAGACACAACAACTTCGAAAACTTGTAATCTCTAACCAAAATACCCACTAAATAACCGAATATCAATTCAACAACTATATAAAACTTGAGCTTACTAAATCATCTATAGAATATTATTTATTACATATTAAATTCCCATTAAAACCCCCTAAGTGCACAATTTTCTGGCCAAAAACTTTTGCTCTCCGTGTGGCAAATTCAGATACGGGAATATAATGTTATCCGGGACTGGGGACTGTTTACATTTTGATGGGCATCAGCGGACTCCGTCCGTAAGAAGCCAAGGCAAATTATTTGACTATTTATACGTGTTTACATACCTGCTGCTGATGCTTTTTCCGCGCGGGTCTTCAATAGAGAGGGACAGCGTGTTTTGGGGCAGCGAGCCGGAAAGAGACGGGATAATGGGGCTCCTGCTCCTGCGAATGGTGATTTCCGAGCTTAGTTTAGTGCATGCTGCAAATGAATTATCAGGGAAATTAGCACAGGAATTAAACGGGGAAATTAGGCAAGAAATTAGAAGGAAAATTAGCAACGAATGATCACAGAAAGACCAGCGGAAGTTCGGAGGAAATCTGCTGGGCAAACACAAAGCACAGGCACAGATAGCGCTATCCAAACATTCCATGTTTGTCGGGCAAACACAAAGCTCTCCGCGCTCGTAAATATTGTTGTTCTCCGACTCAATCGCCCGAGCGTCTAAATTTAAACCAGAGACTAAGACCAGGGACTTAAAGACCCGGGCTGGGTGTGTTAATTGAGCTGGCCAAACGAATTAAATAATTAATTCCCGACATTTGCCTTTAATCACGGCATCCAACTCGGTGCACAAATAATACAAATAACAATGTTGCTGACTGCCATCGTGTTGTGTTAGCTCAGTGCTCTCCTGACAGAGTTCCTAACTTGCCATTGTGCCTTTGGAAGTTGGCACCGAGTTTCTGCAATAAATTTATCTTAATATCCAAGCGATGCGGAAGTTTCGGTCGTCAGGGCGCATTTTTCACTCTAATGGAGCTGGAGTCGAAGTCGGAGTCGAAGTCTGAGGCAACAATGCAAGGACAACTTTTCTCCTTCGCTTCCAGCACCGCAAACAAAAAGCAAAATTATGTATGTGCATAGGTAACATATGAGGGGATACATACAGCAATGGGCATATAAATAGCATTGATAAAAGGAACAAGCCTAAAAACTAAAAAAAACTGGGTGTGGAACATTTCAGTTTTATAGAGAAATTTATAAGATAGATACTTCTTGCTTGCTTGAGGTTAGGTTTTAATTGTTCTTTTATCATTAACATTAAGCTTGTTAATTCTCATTGAAATTGAATAAAATAATTTTACCAAATATTAAATTTCTTGGTGTATAGTTACAATTAAGCGAATTGAAAACTGCATTTTGAGAAAGAGTTTTACCTAATCAAGCAATTAATGAATGTATAACAAAGCTTTATGTTTATCAAAATAATTGTACAATAAATATGCTTTATGAAATTAAAGATTAACCAACTTTATTAAGACCGTATTTTTAGTACAGATTTTAAATATTTGAATGTACAAAAGAATATAAAGCTTTACCTTCCTTTTAATGTTATACGTAATTGACAATTTAACCAAAAGAAACTTTAATTTTATAATTTCCAACAATAGTTATTATAAATACATGAGAAATTTCCCTTTCTTTTTTAGCCACAACTGTATTGGCTTGTGGTCTTAGCCTGCTTCTCTCAGCCTTCCTGTCCTTTGGGAAAACACATGTTTAACAGAGTGCATAGTGCAAAACTTTGACATGAAAGTTTTTTGTTGCTGAAATAATTTGCCATGTTGTTCAATGTGTGAAATTGAAATTATTCCAGCTCGAGAGGAGCTTGCACAAATTGAGAATGGCGTTTTAATCAAGTTTGACGGAAGTTCATTAGCAGCTTTGCCCGCACACACACAGGGCGTATGCGCAATGTTTGTCATACGGGGCGTATGAGCGATGTGGCTGCTGGTTTGAAACCAATAGTTACCCCGGGAACGGGGCTCGGCCCACGGGGATGCCGAACTTCGATTAGCCGCACTTTGCGCCGCGATAAGTCGCTGCCATTAAATGCTCGTTAGCAGTCATTGCCATATCTGTAGTATTTTGCAAATTATCAGCCAGCGGGCTGCTCGCTTGCGTTGCTCCTCTAATCAGCGCTCGGCAAACAAAAAACTGACATGAATGAAATTTACAGAGTGGCAGCAATAGATGAGAGAGGGAGAGCAGTACCAAATGCTGTTTTTCTTTCTTTTTTGGTCTTCTTTGGTTTATTTCGTTGGTGTCATTACACTGGTTAGCAGGGTATTTTGAATAGGAATAGGAAAACTATTTATTTTTATTGGCAATATTTATTCTCAATAAAATTACGTTAAAATTGGGTGATTAAATTAAATTATATCATTTAATAAAGTTTATTAACTGTCTTAACAAATAACTATGAAGTATAAAAATATAATCCTTTAAAACCTGCTTGAAATAAGCTATTATTTAGTTGAATTAATAAAAGTAAATATTTCTAAGCTTTTTGCATTTATTTAATGCAAGTTATTTTGTATTTTGATTAATTTTCATATATTTTAAAGTTCAATCAACATTTGTTTATGACCCACAATAGTCTAAAGAGATAAATTCCCATGTTGTTTAGTGTTATTTGCTGGGTTGCGTATCTCAGTTCCGTATCGCGTATCTCACCGAGTGCCGGTGGAAATTCGAGGAAAAAGCGGGCGGGCCACGCCCCGAAGGCATAATGCTTGCCTCACTGATTTGCGTGCTGCACAGACACACACCCGTACACACACAAAACGGACACAACACAAAATAAATATAAAAAGGCAGACCAAGCCCCAGAGGTTGGGCGTGCGAGTCCGGGCATTCGGATATTTGGGATACTTGGGGCCTGTGTCACATTTTCTGTGGAGCTGCCCGCTATTTTTGCCATTTTGTTTGCCTTTCGCTGGCTGCGCGACGCTGCGGCTTATCACATAATTTGAATAAAGTAGCTGCAATCTTGTGTCAGTTTATCGCAAATTAGGCCAGATAAAAACATCAGCTAAACGCGGCGCAACGCAACGCAACGCAACGCAACGCAACGCGACAAATTGTCTGCGGACCGAAGGATAGCACACGTAAAAGTTTCGGGTGGGGGCAAGTTTTTCAACTGAAAATAGTGACAACACAACAACGTAGAAAGAAAAATAAACATAAAGGGCATCGAGTATACGCCGTGGTGTCTGATGCACTTTTCATCCCAATTTGTTTGCTTTATGCTGCGAAATCGAATTATGCACAAGTGTGGAGGCGAAAAATGAATGGGCACAAAATAATTGAATCACTGGCAAATTGCAGGACATGTCGCAGGTTCTGCACCAGCTCCTGGTATCCTGTCTGCCGTCCTGTTACGGATGCTACAGATGCTACGGATGCTACGGATGTTACAGATGCTACCTGATGCTGCCACCATCAATGGTCCCTGTTTCCCGGGCGTCGGCAAATTGCTTGACACTTTTAATTATGGAAATTGACTAACGCTCCGATGGCTGGCAGGAAAATGTACGAAATGGCAGCATGAAGGAAATGTAAAACCCAAGTTAAGCAGTGCGAATCGCCTTCAATTAACTCTCGGGGAAACTCTGCCAGTGACTGCGGCCATGTTGCCATGGCGCTGCTCTGTTTCCATCAATTTTCCACAGTCACACCCATCCGTCGGCGTCCTGATGGCAATGAAAACAGCTAATATGGCCCATAAACAAGAATAAATCGAATCTGTTTTTGGAATGGAATAAAACGCGTATGGAGCAGCAGCAGTCGTTAATTTACGCGGACAGAGAACGGGTACGGACAATGGCCGAAAGACGCAATCTAAATTTCCGCGAAATGCGAAAAAGCGCCAAATGAACGCGTTTAATTGGAAAGCCATTTTCCTTCCATCGAGGCAGGGAAGCTAATGAAAAGGGAAATTAAATCGAATATTCAACGCCACACGAATTATGGCCACCGTTCGACAATGATTGAGCACATTGCGGCAGAATTCTTGAGAATATCGGTTCGAGTCTGGGGGTTTCCTTACAAATTTTTTAGTTAGTATATATAAAAATATTGTTTGTTTTTCAGTTTTCCCATGACTGGCAAATTTTGAATCACAAACAGGGATTTCCCGCGAATTCTTTGATATTTTTAATGATTTACTTGATGAAAATCGTTGAAGTCACTTAAATTGGGAGCGTATTCTGCATAGACTATGATATTACTTTAATTATAATTTGTTTATTATATCATTTATTTTCTGTGGGGCTTAGAAATATCCCATTTGGATCAATAAGATGTAATACTTATAATTTTACTAATGTTTATATTAAAATATATATTTTTCAGAACGAAAACTAGCAAGTAAGAAACCTAATTTAATGTTGATATTTTTAGTTCAAACCAAATAGAATTTAGAAACCTTTTACCAATCCTTTTATCACAAAAGTTGTTTTAATTTCTTGAATATTTTTCATATAAAAATATATACAAGACAAACTTGTGCCCTATTTTTTCATGTTTCTCGCTGTGCATCTTGGAGTTTTCCGGATATATTTGGGAGGAACATTTCGTTTGTCAACGGGGCCATAATCGAAGATGGCAATGCGTATGGGATATATATTCGGTACTCGGTGGTAATTGCACTTTGGGATGCTTAACACGATGCACTGATGGCACCGCGAAATATTAAGTGTGCCGCTGGCAGTCATTATTTATTTACATTTCCACTTTTCCCATTCCGGCGGATTCTTTATGTCATCATTCGGCGTTTTCGCTTGATGTTTACTTTTTCCCTCGCCCAGCGGAAAATGCTCTTTTCACGGCATGAAATGGAATGAATTTTCCGGCCGTGTATGTGTGTGTGTGTGTGCGTCTCTTTGGGAATTTGCATAAAAGGAAACCCGTTCGCAACACCTTGTGCCTTTTGGTTAATTTAGGGGCCAGACACCTTTGAGGAAAACACACACACACACACATATACTCAGATAACTCACCTTTTTCCCGCTACCGTGGTTTTTCCTGGCTGGCTCCTGGCTGGCAGTTAATGCTTCAGCATGGCGTAGGTCCTGGGAAAGGCTGCTCCTTTTGCCGCTGTGGCACTTTTCACTAGTAGCATATTTCGCTGCGCAGTTGGACGCATGTAATTGTAATTTATTCACGCTTATTTATGGCACATGGCAAGTGCTTAACAGTTGCTGTTTACACACACACGCACACACTTTAACTGTAATTTACTACGTATTTCTTTCGTTAATTTCTTGTTTCTTCTGTTTCTTTGGTTAATTTCTTGAGGCTGTGCAAAGCACTTTAACTTTTAACTCTTGTTGTTTACTTTTTGTGGGGGTGGGGTGTCATTTATATGTATATTTATTTTTTTTATTATTTTAATGTTTACTACAAAAATATATGCTGTTTTATTTCGATGAAGAAGAACTCAGGTGCGATGTGAGTTATCTGTGCGTTTGGTTCTCTTTTATTTTCTCTTCTCCGCTGAGCTGTTGCCGGCACGTCCACTGAAACGAATTGAAAGCTGCGGCCGTTGGCGCTGGCCTTTTATAGCCGCGGCAGCGTCAGAGAGCAGCAGTAGAGTGCTCTCCTCTCTTTATCACTCACTCACTCACTCTCTCTCTGTGTGTTATCAGTGGCGCAAGCTCTTCGTCAGCTGGCACACTTTCTCTTTGACTCTCCCTCTCTCACGCTCGCTCTGTCGTTGCTCTGAGTGAGGGAGTGCATTTTCTTATCAGCAGTTGTGGCTGGCATCTTGTGACGTCACGGGGGCACCCTTTCCCCACACCTGCACGGTTTTTTGTGACTTGTGGCCATAAATTAGCAAATAACCTTTGTGCCTGGCCAGATTTGAACCAGGTCTCTGCTGTTTATTTACACTTTTCGCCCCTTTCCACTCTCCCTCCTCCTTGGTGTTGTCCTTAGACTCTTATTGCTCCCTCTATTGTTCCGTTTGTGTTGTGTTTTCGTGCTGTTTCCTCCATCGCTTTTGCATTTGGCGCTCTCTGTTGATTTATCCGGAAATATGTTATCTCAGACGGAGCATAATTTAAATCCCAGCTGAGTTTTCCCTCCGAGCCTTCCTTGGCCGTGGAATTTAATAAAAACAAATGTTAAGCAGGAGAAACTTTCACCGGTATCTGTATCTGTATCTTTGCTGGGCGACACGATAAGCAGACGCCTTGAATTTTCGGCCCAAAACTTTGGGCATTTTCAAATTGCAAAAGTTAGGTTCTACATTATTTGCGGGAAATTTAATTGCATGCGGGCTTGGCTTTGTTTTCAGATAGTTTGTTGTTACATTTGGATCTTTGATAGTTCACAGCAGTATTATAATTTATAATAGCCATCTGCTATTTAACCTTTAACGTAAAACAGCAGACATGACAAAACGAATGCTTTATTAAAATTATCCAATCCAAAACTTATAATTTAATTTCTCTTTATGTTTCAAATAATATGTTGTATATTTCCCGAAAAAAAGGAATGTTTTACAAATTATAGGTAGATTTATATATAAATACATTTTAAATACAAGAAATTAACAAAAACTGCAGTATAAAATACAAGAAAGGAAAATAAAACACAAAAAGTGTTTCTAAACTGTGCCACTTAAGAAAGTTTCTGTTGAAAATGTATTCAATGCAATGTGTTCTTAATTAAAAACTTTCAACGACAATAATGACTTTTATAAACTTAAAACAAAACCATTAACCATTAAACCATTATGACAAATTTATGTCATATAAATAATTAATTTTTTAAAGATTGCTTTCCATTCTCAAAATCGAATAAATTGATTTCAAATTGCTAAAATATGACTCCTTCAAATGAACCCAAATATATTCTTTTGAGCTTGACTCTATCGTAAAAATTCCAATGAAGCGTAACGAGGAGCATATGAAGCATAGATTAAGCCGGAATCTGCGCTGAAAATTGCTTATGTACTACCAAGAAAAATAGGAAAAGAAAAATGAACGAGCAATTCCCACTTCCTCTCTACCCCCTTCCCGGCGTTTGTTCAGATCTACGCGCAAAAATTTGCGGCAATTTTTGTGCGCTTTACGGCAGATTGCCACTCCGGCTGGCCCCGTTCTCACATCTCTGTTCTGATGCCGAAGTCCTGCGTCCAGAGTCCTGTTTCACACACACACACAATCGCACGCACACACTCTCGAAAAAACGCACACAATCGCAATCACAGCGATGGGCATGCAAAGCGTTGCCATTTTATCGTTGCCTACTTTTAGGCAGCCGCCATCATGCTGTGCCAGAAATTGGAACTCGAACCCCGACTTCCTCTTCCGCTTCTGGGCTGCCGCTGCCGCTGCTGCTTCTGTCTCGCTCGGCTTTTATTTTTAGCAGTAGCATAATTTTTTATTGATTGGATTTCAGTGAAAATCACTTCCGGCGATAAATTTGTTATGCAGGCAGCGATTCCGTTCGGTTATGTCCTGACTTTCTGGCTTTCTCTCTCCTTTTGACTTTCCCCCATTCGACAGGCGATGGGTAAACTTTTCATGCTGGCTATGGAATACGAATACAAGGATGACTGACATTTTACAGGAATACTACTCTGCTCTGGTTGTTTTGATTTATTTTATTTTATTTTTTGCCCAATGTCAATCCAACATATCTGCCGACATCCAATGCTTCTCCATCGTCTCCATCGTCGAGGGGCTACTTCCGGGGAAGTCTTGCTTGTTCAGCTCGGAATTTGTTTGTTTGTTTGTTTGGCTTTCGTTATGCCTCTGCACTAATGGCCAATGGGGGGAGGAGGCTGGGGAATGGAGCTGGATTGGTGGCTGAAGGACATGGAAATGGCTACGAGTATTGACAAAGAAAATTTGCACACTGTTTGCCTTACATTACGAGGTGGAGCAGAGCATGCAGAGAGCCTTTCGCCTCTCGCCTTTGGCAAAATCAAATACAAATTACTGCAAAATGTTATCAAAAAGCCGGGCGAAGCTACTGCTGGCGGGTAATTTAATATATCAATCGGAGCACGGTCAATGATCCCGGTCCCAATCCCACTCCTCATGATGTCCTGGCAACCAGCAAGGTGGGGAGAGAAGTACTTTTTCAGGATGAGCATTAACCGGCGCTCGGGCGGCGTAAAATCGTGGCAAATGAACCCACTAAAGACACGTCCATAACAACAGCTGCTGACCCAAACATGTATGTGTATTGGTGATGATGGTTTTTCCTCAAGAGAACCGTGACGTCACGGGTCCTTTGACAAGAGTATGCCAAAGAGAAGTAAAGAGAGAGCTAGCCAGGGCGCCTGCGTGGTGCCAGGACTCGCAGGACGACTTCCGGCTAGCGCAGCGAACATATGACATCATTGAAAACAAACCCCTAGCTTTGGTAATGAAATTATGCGTTTTTCCTCTTCTTACTTTTTTTTTTGTTTTTGCCATTTTTGTCACCGCCTTGGGCCCTGTGTGTGTGCGAGTGTGCGTGTGTCCCCCTTGTCGGTGTAAATAGTTTTTGGCTTCTGCTGTGGCGCCTATTTGAGCGCTGACGTCACTGCTGCCACCGCCGCTCGCTGTGCACTCGAATGTAAAATTGGCAAATAAATAGGATTTGATATTTAAGGTCCTGCAGCAAGGAAGCCATGCGCAGACGATGGTGACATAAGACCAAGACCAGCAGCCAAACAAAGTCCTCGGACAAAACAGTGCAGTGTTGGCTCAGTCTTAGGGAATGGCGTGGAATTAATTAAGCAGAGGTGCCAACAAAATTTTCTAAGGATTGTAAATCACTTCTTAAAGTTCACAACATTTTTCCTTAATTATTGAATTCTTTAAGTATTTTTTAGTCTTAGTTTTGTAGCGTATTTTTCGGTTTTATTTAGCATTCTCGCAATAGCGCTTACATTTTGTATATTATTTAAAATAACCTATGCCTTTACCAAGAGAGTTCAAAGCCTTTCATTTTACAATTATTACATATTGGTAATAAATTAAATATAAATTAATAAATAGTAAATAAAAAAGGAAATATTTCTATATGAAAGCTTAGTATCCTTTTAATAAAAAGTCCGCAAAATAATCTTTTTTTATAGCTACAAAAATGCTGCAATGACAACTCTGTGCAGGTGACCGCTGACCGTTACTTGGGGTAGCCTAAGGTGGCCAAAGGTCACCGCCACAGACAATGGCATTTTGCTGGCCTAATTGAATCATGGGCACGTGCAACATTAGCCGGCTTGTGCGACTTTTCAATCACTTGCGAACCGAGTCCTTAAAGCGAAACAAAACTCAACGTCGAGTGCTCCGGCCATTTGGTTTGTTATTGTTTTATGCGCTATTACGCGCACTCCGATGAAGAGCCCTAAGGATGCTGCACTCGTTGTGCTGCTCCACTCGGCTACCGCCCCCCTTTCCCCCGCCGGTACTCAGGGTCCTAATTTAGTGACGTCAATGGCTAAATGACTGAGTGGCTAAAATGACTGAGCGCCAAAATGGCCGAATGGCTCCTCAACTGGGTGGCCATCTTTTTATGGACACGCCTGTGTGTGCGGCTAAGCGGCGAGACGCTCGCCCATTAACTCGAAGCATGCTTTCGGGCGCTCCTTCAAAGTGCCAGCTGGCAGTTGAATGGCTTTAAGACCGGATGCAGTTTTCTGGCATAAAACAATGTCGCCAAAGGGTCAATTGAAAGGCGATATTTTCCATAAACAATATTTTAAAATTAGAACTTTATTGGGCTCAAAATAGAGAAGTTAACAAAGATATTTAGCCTAATATCTTATATGAAGTTAAGTTATAAAAAGTATATTCTTTTTGTGAGCGAATGTTTATCTTATTTCTTTTATTATTATCTTTATTTGGCATATAAAAATAAACTCTATATGCATCAATTAATAGTATTTATAATAATAAATAGTAAAAAACATAAGAAAATATATTTTGTGAAATTAAACTTTATTTTATAAAATTAAAGTCGTTATTGCATGGTTTCCAAGATTTATTGTATAAAATGGAATGGAATGTAAAACTATAATCTATAAAAACTTTAAAAATTCAACTAATTTTGAAAAAAAGGTAAAACCAAGTCAACCCGTTAAAAAAACTTCCATGTTTTTAAATTTTTCAGAACACATCAATCAATTTGACTGATATTTTCTGATCGGACTCAAAAGCAAGAGCAATTACTAAAGTTTGGATAACATACAAATTGCAACAATTAGTTTTAGTATCTATTCAACCATGGTCGTTATCACATCGTCACTTTCAATGGCTTTCCTAATATTTCTTGGCTCGATAGCCAGAGTGAGTGGATAATGGTTCACTACCAGCTCCTTGCTGTTACATTTATCTATATTTGGCAGGTCCACCCTTGGTTCGAGTTCACCAACATCATTTGCTCTGCTTTGGATTCGAAATATATGGACGTGGATACGTGTCATCTGAAATCTGTGAACCGATCATACAAATACATGAGTTTGAGGACCAAATTTTTCAAGTTCCCGGTGAATAATATTACGGTAAGCAGTTCTTCAATTTGAATACTCAGACCAATTATTTAATTTTGGGGAAGAGTTGAGGTGCTAAAGAGACTGAATGGCTATAAGCCATTTCTGTATAACTTTAGCTTTGACAACAATTAATTAATTAATAAAACAGTTTCGAATTGGAACACATTTTTCGCTTGGTAGAATCTGTAAAAAGTTTTACGATTTTAAAAACTAAATAAAATAAATTATTCGCCTCTTAGAGCGATCACTTTGAACAGATGCGATAGATAGCTTAATTAATTATATAAACAGTAATTCCATACGCAATTAAATTCTTTAATTGTAATTTTATTCTGCTATCGATATTTAGTTAGATTGCCAGGTTAATTACTGAGTTCAAACTTTTATGAGTATTTGGACATGCTTAAATTCTCCGCTATGTTGCCTTCCTAGGGTATTATTATAATAGTCAGAAGCTTGCAACACACTGAAGGAGTCAAATTTTTTTAAATTGTAAACGAAGTATGCAGATTTGTTAAGCTAAAAAAATCTAACATAGGACCGCTTTCCGAATTAAAATTAATACATTATTGGCATAGTTATGAGTATACAAACTTCGGCTTCCCGCAGTTAGTTTCCTTTTCATTTAATTTCATTTTCTTTATTTTTAAATATTGTATTGTTTTTATTTTTGAAAAAGCATTAGACATTTTTCAAGAATTTTCAGGCTAATGCAAAATAAAATATAATTTTTCATGTGCATATGATCCCAACTAGAAATGTATTTTTGTGTAGGTTCTGGACCTGGTGAATTTAGTTTTAAATATTTTCTGATTTCCATCACAGCTGGAACAGCCTAAAAGTAGACAGCATTGCAGATCCTAAACCAATACCGTTGATCGTGATCGAAGCAGCAGCAGCGCCAGCAGCAGCAGCAACATCAACAGCAGCAACAACAGCAACAACAGCAACAATAGCAAACAACTGAGCAACCGAGTGACCGACTGGCAATCAGACAACCTCTTCGCCTTGTCTTCGCTCAGTTTCTTCCAGCCAGTCGTTCACGTCGGTTGTTTGCACTCCGGTTGTTCGTTGGCTCGTGGCTCGTTGCTCGTTGCTCGGTTGTTGCATGTTGCACTCGCACGTTGCTGTCGCACGTTGCACGCTGCACGCTGCACGCAGATTTTTGGGGACAACCGAATTAAAGCACTTGAGTTATGTTATTCTGACACAATTTCGCAGAGTGCAAAACTGTCGAATAGCAAAAACTGCAACGACCTGCCAAGGTGTGTGTGTGTGTGAGTGTGTAATGTGTGTGTGTTTAAAATAAGTGTGTCGTGCGGGAAAAAAGCGCTGAAGAAAGAAGGAAAAAGCAAAGAGGGGTGCATACACCAGCCAGAAATTGAATATAAACAAAAAGAAATTGCATAAGTTGGACTTTTGGCGTGCGCTTTGCCCATCTTCTTCTTCTTCTTCTCTTGCTTCCCCTACTTCTCCAACTTCGTCTGCTCCATCCACGCCGCTTCTGCAATATTTGAGTTGTTGTTGCCATTGCAGCTCTTTTTGTTTATGCGAGATAAAACAAAAGCCAGAGAGAAGAAAATATACAAAAAAAATAATATATATATAAAAAAAGAGAGTCAGGCAGAAGAGTCAAAAGATTTAAACTTAGTGGCGACGTCCGGCGATTTTACAAAATTTTAATCAACTCCACTGGGCGCGAGACTTGACCATTTGACTTTTTTCGAACAAGTTTGCATTCGAGTTCCGCCGCCTCGTCTTCGTCTTCGTCTTCGTCTTGGCCGTGTCTGGTCTGGCTCAGAGTGTTTGCGTTTTCGGCAATTAAAATCCATTAATGCAATTGTTGCTTACCAATTCGCGCGCCATGTGTGTTTAAGCCACCCATCGAAACCTTTATGCAACAGGACCAAAATCAACGCAACAAGGGACATACTCTATCCGCAATTGAAGTCTGTGTGAGGTGAGTGCGCCAGCAATTAACATAAACCAATTACAGCTAATTACAATTAAACAAATTAGTTGCCGCAAATCGTGCGCGATTCGTTGCTGCTTGTGTCATTAAAGTGATATGGTATTTGCATAAATTAGATAAGAATTAACAGCAAATAGAACAGAGAGCGAGAGCCAGTCGTCGCTCGATACACAAAACAAATACTTTATATTGTCCTGTAATGGCCCTCGTAAAAAGGGCTCTTAAAAAATACTGAATTTGCATGGGGGATAATGCAATTGCAGATATACCCAATATAAAGGGGTATAAGTACTTGAAATAGTATATAAACATCAGGAGAGTTTTACATGATAAGTGCTCGAGGTTGTTTGTAAAGTCAGCTTCACTTTCATCACGAAAGCCCATAAGAAAAATCTGTTAAGGTTAGTTCTTCATATTATATTATATTACATTATTATACATTTATTTATATTATTCATTTTTTTTAGTCTGTTTTTGTTGTCTCAAATAGTTAACATACCCTTCCTGAGTTAAAGGAAAATGTACGTTATCAGCACTCGACATCGTTGTGCTCTCCTAATTGCCAATTGTGCGGCTCAACAAACACTAAATTTCAGCAATTTCAATGGCAAATAAATTGAAATTGTGCTGGCATTTATTTTAACAAATTACAAATTACATTTACATACTTTCCCATGTTAATTAATTTTTCCATTTGCATTAAGCAATACTTTCATGGGATATCGGTTAGGCCACTGCACTTCATTAACCATTCGAAATCATTTAAATTGTCTACTCGATGATTTAGTTTTCAACGAAGAGGAGGTGGCTTTGTTTGATTTGGTTTATTTTTTGGCTTACTGGTCTCTGTTTTAGCTTTTTGGCTAATCATAAATAGAAATTCCTGTCACAACGAATACTCGTCTTGTGGCCATAAAATTGGAGATGGCACGTCAGGTGGAAGCCATTCATTAGCCCCATCAACCTATAAATAATCGGATCCGCTCCCCCATTTTTGGCTGTAAATTGATTCATCGCAGACATAGTTCAGAGCCGTGTTCTTTTCCCAGACTCCCACTAAGATTTGTGCATTAATTGCTTGACTAAGCATCATCGAAAACTCATAACGAGTTTGTTTCACCAAATTAAGAGACGGCCAAACCAGTTGAATGAATGTGAAAATACAGATAAAACATATACAAAATCGATGGATTAACAAATATAAAAAAGCAGCGAAAACAAATGCCGCAAACGAAGCTGAAATTAGATAATATTTAATGGGATACTCCTCCCATTTCCCATCTTTATAAAGATGTCTTTGCAGAGGCGTGGCTGAAGATGCACTGAATATATACTCAAACATTTCAATTATCACACCCAGGCTTGCATTGAAGTGTTTAAGCTGTTTTTAAAATGTTAAATTGAAAAACGATAATAAATCAGCACATTACATATATGTATATATATGTTTGTCCGAGTATTACGACACAGAGCAGCGCATCTCCGACAATTATGATGCCTATAAATAGCGGAGAAAAACCAAATGGCTTACAACGACTGCCAACAATTGTGGGTGTTACTTTGGGGACCAGCTTCGGCGAAATTAATGAGGCAACCAACTTAAATTATTAATGAATGAATGCGGTCATTGACAAATACACATCGCATTGGAAATTTACAATAAATATAATATTGAAAACCAAGAGCAGACATTAATAAAAATGGGCGAATAAATATTCCGATTTCATGATGCGGTCTGAGCAGTTCATTGCAAATTGAAACCGAGAGCCAAGCCGCAATTACTAATTGCGGTATGCCAAAATGTTCATGGGAAGCCAGGGGCCAACAGAGAGGGTTAAGGGTCATTTTAGCCATACAATTGTGGTGAAAATAATACGAGTTCATGTTACATAACACTGCAAACAATACTTAATACCTGATTTATTTTTTTGGGTTTATTTAGCGGTGGAATAAAATAATAATAATTATATGGCTAATGATCTTATTGGCAAACTGGTATTTTTAAATAAAATACAAATCAAAGCAGTTTTTGATCTCTTTTTATATATGCAAATTAATGGAATATATTCTGAAATATTTATTTATATTATTTAAGCTAAATAACAGTACTTTTAGTTATTTGTTTTATTGTTAATTGATTTATTGTATTAAAAAGTAATTAAAATTTTAAGTACATCCGGATATAGATAGAATAGATGATGAGGCCGACATTTTATATACTTCCTTTTGACAAACAAAACTTTCTTGATTATTTATCTAAAGATTTTCTGTCGTTGCTATTATTTTCTCCATCACTGTGAGCCAACCTGCACCTGTTGTGGGTGAAAATGGTATCTATTCTCCATCGAAGCCATACATGGAAGCAATAGATCAAATCATCTGCGGCATGTCAGGTCGATTACTTAACACAACTTGTGTGGAAGTGTGGAATTCGCGTAGCTCCAATAAGTGAAAGGTTCGTCGAACCGGAATTAGCAACGGGCCAGATTTGGGCATTATTCAAGCGAACTTGGCGATAAACCAGTCAGGACTGATAAGCTTTAGCATAGAACCTGGCCGAAAAACACGTTTTGCACGAAAATAAATATGAAACAAATATTTAAAAATAAACAAAAGGTAAATAAATAATAACCGACGCATATCCAATCGTTTGAATATATATTAAATGATAACAAATCCAGTTGATAAATGTTCGCCAGCATCCATTTATTAGAATGTCTAAGCCGAGAGATTGTAAGATCGTTGATTGTGGATTTATCATCTGGAATCTGATCCAAGCAGAGCAGATCGGAGTTCGATATCTAATTTATGGGATGTTTGCCTTTCCTTTCTTGATTTTGTTACCTTTTTTTGCTGGGCTATTTTGTCTCGAGCGTGTCAACTAATTAAGCAAAAAGAACGCTAAAAGTCAATTGGAAACAAGTTCCAGCAAACACTCGCGGTGCTATCCACATCCATTAGCATTCGGATAATCGGGTTTGGATCTGAATCTGAATTGGAATCGGAGTCCGGAGCCATTAAAATCGTATTAATAATGGGCATCAAAGACAACAAGAAAAAATAAATACAAAACGCATTGAGCTGGCAAATTAAATGGTAATTTTTCAAGTTCAGGGCATCCGGTGACATCGATATATCAACTTTCAATTGATTTAAATTGTCTTAATTGTTTCAATTTGGCTCACAGCCACACACTGGCCAGTGGCCACAACTATATGCTATGGAGAGCGACAGACTTGAACCCAAAACCCACTATTACGATTATGAGGCTAATTTCCATCATAATGGGTCTCTCGGCCCGGCCAAGTGCCATAAACCCGTTTCCACACACACATATTAGCATTAACATGCTGCTGCCATCAGGCTGCCAGATTCGAACGAATGAATGAATGTCCCATGCAAATGGCTGGGTCATTCGGTTGCAAGTGCATCCCAGACAAATGCACCTCTAATTGGCAATCGCCCCGAAATTGATTGGGTTTCTGGTTTATTGGGGTTTCCCTTGGTCGCTTTACGGCCATTTAATTGGCCATTTCTCGCTGGCCCAGGCTCGGATGGACTGGCATGGCATGGCATGGCTTGGATTGGCCCAAAATACACGGACATCCGGGACGTATCGATCGATTGCCTGCCATTGCCTTGCACAATTTTTCAAGTTCAAATCACGGCCAAATTGCACTTGTTGCCATCGCACTTGTTGCTGTTGCTGTTGCTGCTGTTGCTGTTGCTGCTGTTGCTGCTGCTGCTGCTGTTGCTGCTGCTGTTGCTGCTCTGGGGATGTTGATTCAATTATGACAGCTCTTTATTGTGTTAACGAAACTGAAAACTAAACACTGAAAACTGAACACGAAAAATGTCAAATGCTGCTATTGACCTTGACTGCTCTGACCAGCTCTGCTCCGTCGAACTCAAATATGATTATGCATATGAGTGTATTCAAATGAATTTGGCAGCCCGTCAACACTTTGCTTAAGCCTTTGCTTTATTCACTTAACCATTCTTCAGGTAGCATTTCAATTTTACTACACGAAGGGGGAATTTTTTAATATATTGTAGTATTTAATGTGGAAATTAAAGGGTGACTGAATGAAGAAGATATTTAAAGTTTGAATAGGGGTCTTAACATATGTTTTGAAATATATGGTAGTTTTCTAAGAACTGCGGGGTTTCTTATAGGTGTCAGGGTTTTAAGAGTTGTCATCAAAAATAATGTTCTTCTCAAGTATCCCAAAGTTAAGGTCCTTTTCAGATTTCCCCCCAAAACTCTCACTTATTAAAGACTCCCCCCTGGTAAAACTCTTGTTGTTAACCCCCGGACAACTTGTACGATCTGATGATAAACCATTTCAGTGCCAGTTTGAAGTCCCAACATGGTTTGCCAGTCGGTTCTGTCAATTCCATTCGTTGTGTTTGCACAGTTGTCAGTGCTCAGCCAGCCAAGCCTGCCGCCCACTCCCGGCCAAGTGCCACATGCCACATGGCAACCTGCAACGAGCCGCAAAGTCGCTTCAACAGCAACAGCAACAGCGACAGAATTCAGCCAGCATCTCTCATCTCATCGCTGGCAGGGCATCATCCTCCGAGTGGTTAAGCCTCTGAACGAACATCCTTTTCAATGGCTCTCGGACGCCCGGGCAAAAAAAGGAAAAAAGAGGATGATGAGAGACTCATCATAAGAGGGCAAAACTAGTTTAAGCCCCGCAAATGCAAACGCACAAAGTGCTAGCAGCTATGGCAGTTGCATATATGTATGTACTATATTTTCAACAGATTTCATTTTTTATTCCAGGCTGCCAACATGTTTGTTTATTTGGATTAAGCTGTAAATGCCTTTTTTATGGGTATAAGGCAGAAGGCAGCATCTAGATCTTATGAACGAACACATCTTTCTTTATTGCTTTGATGTCTTCTTTTGGCTTAATAATGTTTTTCCCCATTTTTACTTTTTCTTTTTGGAAACTGAAATTTAAATGGGAAAATATGTAGTT